GAGGCATTGACTGCTAACTAGGTTCCACCTTGTGGCTTATCCCAATGGGATCCCTAATTAAATAAGTGTTTATAGCAACTTATTTAAACACATCCAATTGCGACAAAATAAAAAAAATTCCACTCCTCTGTAAAACTAGTCACATTTTATGAGCTCTCTGGCCACAGGGCTGTCAACTTGGACAGTACCGATAGAGAATATTTCCAACATCACAGAAAGTGATTGGAAAGAGCTACTATGGTTTCTGTACAATACTCACACATGCCCTCTAATGTTATGTAAATTTGCCTTTGCTTTGATGAGAATGAACAAATTCCTACTCACAACAAATCATTGTGATCACTGTCGCTTGTTTACACATACCTGCAACTTTAAGTCTTGGATTTAATCACTCCAATGCACAAACGTAAGGTCACCATATATACTCTAGTATAAGCCAACCCAACTATCAGCCAAAGCACCTAATTTTACCACAATAACTGCATATACTCATGGGCTTATACATGAGTATATACGGTAAGTAAGAAGCATGTGCACCTACTCTGACTTTCTTATGAATTGGGCTGAAAGACACACTGAAGAATGGATCGTGTTTGTAGCCTGGGGACTGACTGTGTACAGTTCAGGCCATAACCACAAAAGTGATGCCCAAATGCCTAATGTTCGGGAAATCTTTCTGTGGCGCCTCCTTCTACAGCATATTACCTTCCTGTCATTCTTATGGCTCCCCTCCCTGCCCAACTTCACACCCTCCTTATCGTTCGTCTCCTCTACACCCGCAAGGGCTGTGCTGTGTTTATCATTCTCCAAACACACTTCCCCCACCTTCCAGGACCTGACCTGGGGCTTTGTACAGTGTGGAGACTCCATACATATTTGTTAAACAGGTGGAGTAACAATTTCTAGCAAGTGATTGGAAATATGGGGCTGCAGTGGGAGGGTGTTTTCTCATGTCTAGAGATAAAGGGACAAATAGAGAAGAGAGGAAGAGAGAAAAATGGGGTTACAATGAATAACGACGCAGTGTGCAGCTGAAGAAGAAAGAGGGGTAATAGTTACCCCATTATCCACTTCCCCAAATCCCTCAGCCCACTCTGTGAGCCCCTGGCAGTGAAAGCAACGATTGCTGGGGAATTCACAAGCTTGGGCAACAGCTTCATAAACGTGCTAAGGAAATCCAAAATATTATCTTGTGATAAATAAACATGCAAGACCCGTAAACGAGAAGTTGAAGGGGCCTGAAAAGTAAGGGTCTAGTGAGGAGGTAAAAAGAAAAATGTTCTCTCCCTAGGCCAGCTGGTTTGAGTTACGTTTTATGTGCAGCATGTGAGCGCCAGCGCCCTTGTTGAATTAGCAGCAGAATCGCACATTAGTTTTAAAGCTCCCTCTCGGATGGGAACATCATAACGTTCTTTAATTGGGGCTGATAAAAACGTAGCATTACTTGTAGGTTCCTGAGAGAAGCGAGTTGTGAAATTGGGTTTTCATTAAACCTAATGATGGAAAATTAAGTATAGTGCGTCTGGTGAAATGGGGTGTGATAAAAGGCATCACTTCTGCATTATCGGAGGTTAATAAGGGAATAGGTGAGGTAAGATACATTGGAAAAGGGAGTCCAACTACTTGAATTAATAAACCTTGAAAATCCCTGGGTTCCGAGTGCGCATAGTATCATTAGCTCTGGCATGGACATTATTACAAATGTTACAACAACCCAAGCTGCTAAATTGCAAATGCATTTATCTTCCATCTCACTGTTGGTTTTGCTGACATCGAGTTTACGGTTTGTCTAGCAACGTGTTTAGGGGAAATACCCATATTGGTAGCTATTTGAATTTGGGAAACATTTGGAATCTCGCAAAAATTGCAAGACGCCCCTTCCTCGTGAGCCTGTCTTTGCCTGGCGGCCCTTCTCCCAGGCAGCCTACGTCCCAAGTCCTTTGGAAGACCATGGGTCACTGAAGATATCTGTCCCTGGTGTGACAGTGGTGGAAGTAGGAAGCACTCCCAGGGCTCTGACCATTGCCTCTGGCTCAGTCTCTCCATGGGCTCAGGAAATGTAGAACCCAGAGCAACAAATCTAAGGGCCCCTTTCTTCTCCACCCCACCCCCACTCCACCAGCAGGGGAGTCACATGCACAGGAGGCACACTCACACAGCTGGGCCAGCTACATGGCAAGGTGTGATTCTTTCAAAGAAGAGGAATTTTCTTGAAATGCTTCAACAGCTTCACACTGGCTTCAAGATGCTTACATCGTTCCCAGTCTTTCTGGATCGGCTTCCCATGGTAGAGCTGGGCTTCCATTGCATCGCCCCAGCAGCCCTTACTCCATTGGTATCTCCTTGTGCTTGATGATGGTGCCTTGTCTTCTTAAGCTTCTGCTCATTGGGTTTGCCTGGTCCTTCCTGTCTGTTTTCCATATTGGACTATCCAGCCAAGACGTTAGAATCTGTATTTCTCTCAGCACTGCCAGTGCTGCCCAGAGTTCCTGGTGTTAATTAATTCCTGGTGTCTCAGGATGTCTAACACATGATCACGTGGCATGATGGAGTAGGGAAGCAGCCCTCACACTGGCCAAGTGCTGCCTTTAAGCAACTCCAGGGAAGGCGAGTATACCTGTCACCTGTAATCTCAGGCTAGAAAAGTGCTATTCTTCTGTGCGATCAGAAAGATTTTGCTAACATCTTGTCTAGATGCTGTGTCCTTGGGTACGCATCTACATTCTCTAGAGCAGTGGTTCTCAACCTTCAGGGTGCCACCACCCTTTCATACAGTTCCTCATGTGGTAGTGGTGACCCCCAACCATAAAATTATTTTCATTGCTTCTTCATCACTGTCATTTTGCTCCTGTTATCAATTGGGCAACTCCTGTGAAAGGATCGTTCGACCTCCACAGGGGTCGCAGCTCACAGGTTGAGAACCGCTGCTGTAGATCATTCAGTTCATCTTTCAAAGTGATCCAACTGGTCCCAAAGGGCCAGGCCTGCCTTGGTAAATGTTCTTACTGCATGGAATCAGGAAGTGTCAGAGGCCACACTATCCATACAGTGACACCCCCCCCCCAACCCACTAGTAAGGTGTGACCTAATCCATGTCTCAAGTTGGATCAATCAGATAAGTTAGCCTTTGGAGGAGCTAATAGGCAAGGGCGAGCAGAGGCAGGGATGAAAAAATGAGCAAAATCCCATTAGGAAAAACACATTAGGACCACCACTGCCCTGGTTTGTCCAGGATAGATGCGGTTCCCAAATGCCAGGTTTCAGTGCTTATATTAGGGAAGGCCTAGGCAAACTCGAGCGATTTGATCCCCCGGAAAGTATACCATCCAGATATTCCATCCCATGCTGTTTTCCTCTCATCTCTGGGTGGGGTGAATGGTGAAATGCTCACCTGCTAATCATAGAGTTGGAAGTTCAAGCCCACCTCTAGGCATCTTGGAATCTACTATCTGGCAGTCTACTGCCCCCAACTCAGCCACACACGGAGATGAAACACACGGAGCTGCCATCAGTTGGGATCAACTGGATGGCAATTGGACCCTTTCCTACTAGAAACAGTCCTGCCGCCTCCTGTCACATAGCAGTAGAATTTGTTTTGCACACAGAAGCCCCCACTGTGTCTGCTGGATTACTGTGACAGGAGAGACAGGCAAGCTCAAGGGAACATGGATTTCAAAATGACAAGTTGCATAAAATTAGGGATATGTGTTAAGATGCCCAGAGATTGGACATGGCCTGGACTGTATAGTGCTGAAATCATCTGAGTGGGAGACAGCAATCTGCTGGTTCTCGGCTAGTCATGGCCCAGACAGGATGGCTCGTCTTTGGGTGAGGGTCGGAGGGACCAAGCCTAGAGGGTTCTGGCCTCTGAAGATGGGCAATGTATGCCTGGCAGGGAGGTGCTGGGCTAAGATGTTGGGCTTACTGGTTCCAGGAAGACCTAAGGAACCCAAACCCAATCTGAGTAGGCATCAGTTTGTAGCACTGCCAAACTAACAGATGGCAGTTAGAGAAACTCATTGGCTATCAACCACTCTCATCAGGGGAGAGTCTAGTCCAAAAGCAAGAAGATTCTATGAAGGAGATGAGGCGTGGGTATGGTTCTGATGGAGTCTCCAGCAGGAGTCAGGTGAGAGTTTCAGGCATCTCAACTCCAATGTGCCTCAGCGAGATGCTTCTGGACCAATGATGCTCAGTAATGGAGAACATTGACAACTGGTAGGAGGTGACTACTGTCACTGAGCCAGCAACAGATTACCCACTAAGCAAGGTAAGCACACACTTACTTGTGCTTACTTGCTAATCTGCAGTAAACAGTTTTATGTGTTTTTTTATTTGCCACATCAGATGTGGTGAAAACGGTGATGTGGTTCATCGCTGATGAGTATTTGTAAGTAAGCACAAGTAGGAGTGGGCTTAACCTATAGACCCCATAGCTGGAGAAAGCAGCTGAAAGAATCGAGGTCCCTGCCCCCCACTCCCCGAAGGCCCTAGGCTGGCTCCTGTTCCTTCTACTGTACAACCCAAAGGAAACACCCTGACAAGCCAGAACGCAGGGAGGCAGGCGAGTGGCCAGAAGCAGAGGCTTGGCACTTGTCTCCAGAGGCCTGAGGACAAGTAGTGGAGGCTATTTCCAGGCAGCCTGTTTGCTAGCTGGGAGGGTACCCCAATCTCTAACCGGTCTGTCTTCTTACTGGTTCTGGCATTGGCCAGCATCACTGGAGGAAAGACTGAGACAGGTAGGGAATGATGGCCCACCTGGAACTTCGCTTTTGCTCCATCCACCTGCACCCCGGAAGGAGAAAGGAGCAGGCGATTGTATCGTCCATGAGTTGGCTGCCATGCCAGGGGAGCAGTGTGTAGCTAGCCTCGGGGTTTCCTTTTCCTGAATCAGTCAAATTCTGAGTCAGTTCCCATTGACCCTCTCAGGCCAAGCTGGGGAAGGCAGAGGGCAAAGTCCACGGATAACGGTATGTTCCACCTCTTTCTCTTTGAAGCAGATGGCAGCCATGGGGAGCTGTCCCAGCCAACCCTTACCATCCAGACTCACCCCTACCGGACGTGCGACCCTGTGGAAATGAGCTACCCCCGGGACCAGTTCCAGCCTGCCATCCGGGTGGCTGACCTGCTGCAGCACATCACCCAGATGAAGAGAGGCCAGGGTTACGGGTTCAAGGAGGAATACGAGGTAAGAAGCGAGCACTGGGGGAAATTCTTGGCGGGTTCAGAGGCCTCTTTGTGGGCTAAAGCCCTCCTACTGGAAATGTGGTCCCCAGCCCCGCTATAGCAGCATTACCCAGGAGCTTGTTGGAAAGGCAGCATCTCAGGCATCACCCTAGACCTACTAAAGCAGACCCCGTGTGGTACCAAGAATCCCAGGTGGTTGGTCTCCACATTATTTTTGAGAAACACTGTGCTAAAAGATCAGTGCTTCCTTTTTCCCTCCCTCCTTCCTTCTCTCTCTCTCTCTCTCTCTCTCTCTCTCTCTCTCTCTTTCCATTGCCCAGTTATTCCTCATACTTCTACCCACGTGGAGTCACAGCTCCCTTCAATATCCTACTGTTGAAACCCCTGACAATCCCTCCTTCCAATGGTTTCTGGGAGGCCTACTTATTCCTGGTCACCTCTGGCCCCATCCTCATGCTTCTGTTGGGTTCTCAGTCCTCAGACTCAATACTTCCTCGGCAGTGACTGCCGGCATCTCTCTCTCTCTTCACCCTCTCCTCATGCTTGCACCATGCATCTCTCCAGCGAGGACGTGTGAGTCGTGGGTGTTTCTGAGATCTGAGATGAGCAAAGGGCGATGGCAGCAAGGGAAGGGAAGTGTCTCCACCCAGCTCTGTCTCTTCACGTCCTGGAACGTCCTCCGAGCGTGCTGCCATCTTGGCAGTTCTCCCCACTCCTCTCCCTCCCGCAAAGTCTCCCCTTTCCAGCAGCCAGGAAAGGGCTCCCAAATGCCAGTGGCTTTATTCCTCAGAACAATTTTGCTTCCGCTACCTCACTCCTCAGCTTCAGAGCTTGCTCATTGGGCCTCACCTTTTACAAACAAAAATAAAATAAACCAGAAGGAAAAACTCATTACAGCGTTTTCCTCAACCAGAGAGCAGCTCTGTTCCCAGGAGGGATTCTGCCGCCTTCCTGTGTGGCTTCCCATCCAGCTGCAGCCAGCTGTCACAGGAAACATTTCTTTCTTCATTTTTTTCGTCTCCCCCCTCACTCCCTCCCCTCCTTGCTTCCCAAAATATCGTTGGAGCATCTACTATGTGCCAAGCTCTGAATTACATGCGCCCGTTTTCTGTTTGTTTGTTTGTTTGTTTTTCCCACAAATGCCTTGCATTACCTGAGTTCTGCTAGGCTCCCTGTCCCCCCTGTGCAGTGGAAACCCTTTGGCTCAGATAACAGACATTTGGCAGTGCAGGCTAAGTTGATAGTGCAGGCTAAGTTGATCTCTCAGATTGCTATGTTCTGAGAAAGAGTTGACCAAGTCATATATTAGAAGTCAGGTAAGATCATGAAAATTACACTAGCTCACAGGTGTAGGGAGCTGGATAGGCAAACAGGACCCGGTGTGAGTGGTCTTGGCATGAGTTGCATGAGGAGCTTGGAGAAGGTGATTTCTAAGGAGCTGTCTGGTCCCGACACATTATGGTAATGTAAAGATGGTGGCCAGGGCCGTGGCTGACACACTTACGAGAACAAAAAGTTGATGTCAATGCGTGTGAGTAATTAGCAGCTCAGGGAAACCAGCAGTTAATTTCAAATATGACCTAAGGGAAATCGCATCTGTCATGGACTCGGTCTGCAAAGCTTGGCAGGCTGTGGAGAGAAAGGTGCAAGGAGATCACAGGATGTTGGAGATGATCTCATCACCAGCCATCCCAGGGTCTGATTTCCTCCGTCAGGAAAACGTCGGGCTTGAACGGGCCCAGCCCTTTAAAGACCGTCCCTGGAGGGTGCCCACACAGGCAGGACTTTTGGAGGAGAGGCTGTCCAAGTGCGCCTAGGCTGTTTAGCAAGAAAGTCACGGGTGGTATCTCGATGCTTTCATAGGGGTTTCTTTAGGACATTAACGTGTTTTAAAGCCTCAGGGAGATGTGTGACTCGTCAGAAAGGGAGACAAGTAGGGCAAGACTGCGAAGCACGTCCTGAGAACTCACCATCTAAGACTTGAAAGGAGGGATACAGATTCAGTTGATGATTTGGGGATATCTCCTGCCAGTCTGTTTTCATTGATATCATGTTTGAAAATGTTTAGCCTTGTGCAGTGAGTTTGGGGTTGGTTTATTTAATTTCTTCTTTGTACCTAGTTTCCATACTTTCTAGCAGGGAAATACACTTCTCTTTATAAAAAGAGAGAGAACATGTGTTAGTTCTCCATCCTTGCGGTAGTATCCAGAAATATCCACCAGAAATATCTCTAAATAGCTCAGGCTAGCCTTGTCCCCAGTTAGTTCAAATTATATCAATCAGTTGGAATGCTTAGCTCATAGTTAGCAGCATTTTCTGATTAACTGGGGTTAATTGGAAAACATGGCCTGATGAAAGGATTCCACAATGTGCTAGTACCCTTTCCTAGAAGATGGCTGGATCTGACTTTGTTCCCCAAGGGCAGGCGCCTGTGATGTCTAGAATCTTCCTCCTGAGCATAAGGGTCATAGACCTCCTTGAAGACTCAGTATCTTATTGTGAAGACCAGACTCGGGCTTCCAGCCCTGTGTTCGCCCCTACACACTCTGCTCTTTTTCTGACCTACTACCTTTCGATCCTGCCCGGTGTTTTTCATACAAATGTGTGGGTTGGAAAAGCTGGCACGTAAGGGCCTTCTCAGCCAGAGGGGGCCGTGCCTTCTATCTCTTCATTCAGCTCTACAATCACTCGTTTGTCCAAAAGAGTATGCACTGAGTATTTACTATTGCCGAGGGCTGTCCTAGACATTTGGGATCCAACAGTGAAGCTTATGATGTAACAAGAGAGATTGCAGCCCTCATGGAGCTTTTCGTCTAGTAAGAAAGACGGGCAATGCTTTACAGGGTTCAAGACCAGTAACTCCTGTCAGGCAGTAAGTAGGTTAGCTGGTGAAACATGCTGTTTGCTGTGTGCCTTAGCCGTCGAGTGCTACACTAACAGGACTGCCGCAAATGGTCGCTTCTAAGAAATAGACATTTCCTTTCTCAGAGTTTAGGAGGGTGGGAGTCTGAATTTAAGGCACCGACTTTCTCATGCTATTGGCTCTGGAGGAAGGATGGTCCTTGTCTCTCTGCGGTTCCTGCTTCTGGGAGACCGCCCACCTGCTTCGGTGGCACCTGTCCCCCCGACCTGTGCTGTTTTGGGTGCTCCTTTCATCTACTCTGTAGATCTTAAAAGCAACTGACTTAAAACACAGCCTACACTAACACAGCTTCATCAACATACCAAAGCAAGCCCTGTTCCCAAATGGGCCTAAAACCACAGGCATAGTAGGATTTACAACACATATTGTGAGGGGAACACAATTCAAGCCAGGGCACGGACTTACAAAGTGCCCGGCATCTCAGTGACCCAAAACGGCCGATGTATGGTGCTGATTAGCTCCAGGGGTCAGGAATTCGGGCAGGGCACAACAGGAGCAGCTTGTCTCTACTTTAATATCTGGTGCCTCATTAAGGAAAGGGACTTCATCTGAATGCATTCCCATGCACAGGTCTTGTAATCAGTGTAGGCCTTTGGCTGGACCTCAGCTGGATTGTCAGCTGGACTACTTACCTACAGGCCGCGTCTTCGGATGGCGGGGCATGGGCTTCCCCACAGACTGGTGGGCTCAGGATTGCTAGACTTCTTTCTTATATGAAGGCTCAGCGCTCCAAAGGTTGGTCATCACGGCTACCATGGTGGGGAACTGCCTCAGAAGTCAGAGCATCACTTCCACGGTGTTCTACCAGCTGGTTGTTGTTGTTGTTGTTAAGTACCATCGAGCCAGCTCCAACTCAGAGACCAGAGCTTGGCATCGTGCTCACAGCTGTGATGTTGGAGTCCATCGCTGCAGCTCCTCCGTCAGTCAATCTCCCCGAGAGTCTTTTTTTCTTTCTCACCGACCTACTTGGTGAAGCATGAGGTCTTTTTCCAAGGACAGCTCTCTCCTGATAACATGTCCTGAGTGTGTGGCAAGAAGTCTTGCCATCCTTGCTTCTAGGGAACATTCTGGCTCTATTTCTTTCAAGACAGACGTATGCGTTCTTCTAGTGTTGTTTACTCTTCTGCTGGTTCAAAGCAAGTAAAATCTGCCCCGGTTTCAGGGCAGAGGTCGGCCGACTGCAGCTTGCACACCATATCAGCTCCTCCGGTAGGGACATGTGGCTCTGAAGGAAAATGAAAAAAATAAAAAGATCACAGTTTCATTCAGAGGCTATCCTTCAGATTTCATTTGTTTCTGAAAATCTATTTATGGCTCTTGAGTAATTTTTAAATTGTTAGGGGGGACAAGATTGGCTCTTCCATCTCAAAAGTTTGCTGACCCCTGACCTAGGCGAAGGAAATCATATTCCATGGCTGTGTGTCAGTTCAGAGGCTCTACAAGAGCATGTAGAGCAGGAGCTACTGGGCCATGCGATCTTTAGAAAATAGAATCTGCCCCTAGGGCCTTGGAACAAGAAACAGGAGATCACAAAAGGGAGGGAGGCGATAAAGGGAGGGAGGCGCCAATCTTAAGTAAGTTAGAATGGGCAGTCCTGAGGTTAGAAGGTGAGAGGTAAGCCAAGTTCCATGAGTTGCTCTACGCAGAGAAGAGTGTTAGAGACCAAGGGATCAATAACGCCTTGCCAGGTGCAAGGGGAAAGGAAGCGGCCAAGATGATAGCAAGCAAGAAGGCAGGAGCAAGGGTTCAGTAAGGTGAAAGAAGAGCACATTGCAGAAAGAAAGGGGACCTGACTGTCACAAAGACTGTGGTCTTGACTCTGAGTGAAATGCAGCCTCTGCAGAGCATGACCGGACCTCATGATGAACGTCTCATTCTGGCTCCCACATTGAGCACACAGCCTAGAGAGACAAGTGGGCAGCAGAGCGCTCAATGAAGGGGCCATCACAGTAAGCCAGGGGAAAAGCAACGCGACTCCAGCCAAGGGGAGGCAGGGGAGGCGTGAGGAGTGGTGATGCCGATGATATTTGAGAGGAGAGCCATCGGTGTTGACGATTAGGTATGGCAGGCGAGAGAAA